GCCTTCGTTCTGGACTCATGTCATGACAATAATACCTAGTCCCATATCCCTTTTAAACAGTTTTCTCCCACATCTGTTTCAATGCAGTATACATTATTTATCCCATCTTTCTTAGTCTCTCCCCCAACCCCCATGTCAGTCCAGTTTTACAACAGTGGCACTACGCAGTATTTGTCCTTTTGTGACAGAGATAATTCATTCAACATAATGTCCTCCAGGGTCATCCATTTTGAATAATATTGCATGAGTTCTTTGTTTTCAATGCAGCATAGTATTCCACAGCTTCTTTATTCATTTGTTGATGGGCACTTAGATTCTTTCCAACTCTTTGCTATTGTGAACAAAGCTGCAATAAACATGGGTGTGCATATATCTGCTTGGGTGGCAGTTATGGTCTCTTTGGGGTATATTCCCGGTAGTTTAATTGCTGGGCCAAATGGTATTTCTATTTCCAACTTTTTGAGAAAGTGCCATACTGCCTTCCATAGTGGTTGCACCATTTTACATTTCCACCAACAGTGAATAAAGGTTCCAGTGTCTCCACAACCTTGCCAGCATTTGTTGCTTGCTGTTCTGTTAAATTTTGCTATTGTTACTGGGGTGAGATGATATCTCATAGTTGTTTTGATTTGCATCTCTCTTAGAGCTAGAGATTTGAACATTTCTTCATGTGTTTGTTGGCCATCTGAATGTCTTCTTTGGTGAAGTGTGGGGTCTTCTTTCTTGCACTATCTCTCCACCTTTCTTAGCATGATGCACCAGTTGTTTCTGGCCGTGTGGCCAGAGTATGTGAGACAGAGCTTCAAAATAATAGCCTCCAAGGAGAAACTTGGTTTCACCCTCTCCAAGACAGAACTATTTATTTTTCCCAGCACCATAACTCAAAGACCTCGATTCTTTTTTTATTTTTTTTTTTTTATTATTATTATTTTTGTGTGAGTGTACCGTCAAATCAGATCTGACTGGTACAGGAGGAGACTGCCCCTCCTTCCCCAGCAGAGAATCTGGTGGATTCGAACCGTGTGCCTCTGGGATTGTAGTTGCAGCTCCTTGCCGCTAGGCCACCAGAGCTCTCCTAAAGACCTTGATTCTTGTGTCATCCTTCGTCGTTGTCTAGCTCTCTGATGCTTGCAGGTAATTGTGAATATCTCTGCTTAGCACACATATGTTCTTGGCTGTCTAGTTCTCCGCATGCCTAGCTCTATAGAAAAGTATCCTGGGTGAAGACTTATATCATCTCTGTGTCAGGGAAGGCAGTTTGCATTCTTCCTTGCTCCCTATTGCTCCTTCTTTGCTTAAGAAAATCACCCATCTAAGTTCTGATTTAAATTAATGGTCATAAACCTTTCCATTTTATCATATTTATTCAGTAGACATGGCATTTGTACAGTGTAATTAGAAATTAACTTCAGTCTTTCCACTCTTTGCCTATTTAAACCTGTTCTGTAAGACCAGTTATTTCCCTGACCTAGTACAGATTCAGAGTCTCCACGTCACTGCAGGAATCTCACTTTAATAATTAAATTGTCAAGTCCTGTTTTATACTCAGGTTTCATTCATAGAGATAAACCCTCTACTTCCTCAGTTAGACTTTCTTTAGGCTTGAGAAGTCTGTAGTGAGAAAGGAGGGTATTATGCATATTATATGTTGTTTCTAGCTTTGTTCTTTGTAATTTTTTAAGAATTCATTGTTATACATTTTCTTCCCTTCCACTTCTCCTTTTCCCCCAACCCACCCTACAATATACCCCTTGTTCCAGGTTGTTGCATGCATGTAATATTTTATCATATATTCTTTCAGATAGTTCTTCCCCTCATCTGTTCTAATGCAGTGCTCATTAGCTATCCTTTCTTTTCCCATTCTCTCCCCAACCACTTCATGTATGCCTATTTTATAACAGTGGTATTTTGTAGTATTTATCTCTTTGTGACTGAGATATTTCACTCAGCATAATGCCTCTAAGCTCATCCATGTTGTGTAATCTTTTATGAATTTATTGTTTTCTGTGTTGCATAATAGTTCATTTGTGACTATACCGTACTTTCTCTATTCATTCATTTGTTGGACACTTGGGTTGCTTTCATCTCTTTGTTTTCTTGAATAGTGCAGCAGTAAACATGAGTGTTTGACTCATGGCTCTAGTTTCTTAAGGGTATATTCCCAGTAGTGGAATTACAAGGTCAAATTGTATTTCTGTTAACAACTTTTTGAGAAAGCACCAGACTGTATTCCATAGTGACAGTACAATTTTACATTCCCACTAGCAGTGAGTAAGACTCCACAACCTTGTCAGCATTTGTTGTTTGCTGCTCAATTGAATTTTGCTATTGTTGCTTAGGTAAGAAGATATCTCATAGTTGTTTTGATTTGCATCTCTCTTAAAGCTAGAATTTTGAACATTTCTTCCCATGTGTGTTTGATATCTGAATGTCGTCTTTGGTGAAGTGTCTGTTCATGTCCTGTGCACATTTTGTGATTGCTTGATTAGTGGAAATGGTAGTGTCTGCTTGGTAGTGTGCTATGACTAGTAAATGAATGAATACATGTAGTGCCTGTAGTGCCAATAAATATTGGGCATACGTAGGTCTCTGTGCATATATACAAACATTTCTTTTGGATGATTATGTTAAAACAGTGATATTTTTAAAAAAATATTTAATTGTGACTGTTAGTAGATAAATTGCCATTTGTTGTACTTTTTGCAAATACCTTTAAGATCAAATACTAGAAATCTTATGATTAATGCTACTACTTTCAGTAGCCACAGTTCACTGTATTTTATATATATTGACCCTTCATACATGTTTTCTAATATTTTATTTGGAGTCGATTACCTTTAGCCTACTGAGAAGGAGCTCTTGTGACCGACGGGTAAGGAGCTGTACTGCAGACCAGAAGGCATGCAGAATTCACCAGCTTCTGTGCTGAGCAAAATGAGCAACCTTCTCCCACGTGACTTACATACCACCTCTGAAAATCTTCAGGGGGGCCAGCTGCGCGTTGGTTTTGACTTGACAGCATGCAACACCACCCGCACAGCTCCAGGATCTACAGTTCTTGACTTTTGCTACGTGATACATGCATAAACAAACATACTAAGATATGTTGTGGCTTAGTGGCAATGATGCCAATAACAGTAACTATGATAATAATAGGTACTTTTATTATTATTAATTATTGTTATTTTTGCGTGTACCGCCAAATTAGCTTTGACTGGTACAGGAGGAGATTGCCCCTCCTTCTCCAGCAGAGCTTCTGGTGGTTTCGAACCACTCACCTCTGGGATTGCAGTGCAGCTTCTTGCCACTAGGCCACCAGAGCGCCCTAATAATAGGCTCTTTTGATAGTTCTAACTAGTTTATAGTTTAATATTTATAAGTTTTTGGTTTTTTTTTTTTTCAGAGAGCCGTAAGACTAGTAAATTTGCCTTTTATATTCCTTTGGTCTTTGCCAGTCAATACCTTGAATCTGTTTTTAGCATTATTAACTTGTTTTTGCTGTTAGATGTCATCAAGTTGAATGTGACACATAGTGACCCAATGAACAATGGATCTGAACCTTGCCCTATCATGTGTAATCCTCATCATCTCTGATAAACCTGAGCCAATTGTCATAGATACTGTGTCAATCTAAGTCCCCGTGAGTCCTCTCTTTTACTGACCCTCTATATGGTGACCTTTTTTAAAGTTTTACCACCATTACTTCCAAGAACCACCATGCTTGCACTTTCTCCAAGACAGATTTGTTTGTTCTTTTGTACATGGGACATTCAGTCCTCTTTTTCCAGCGCCACAGCTCAAAAACATTGATCCTTCTGATCCTTACTTATTATCCAAAACAGCATTAATTGATCTAATATTATTAATGTAGTATCATCACATGTTGAACACTGTGACACTGATGTGTCAAATGCGTTAATGGTTACCCATGGTGGACAGTGTTTGGTGGAGTTCCCCAATTAAAACCAGCTTGGAAGCAGGAGTGGCATCCACTTCCACAATAGCTTGCCTCCGGAAATCCTATGAACCTGGAGAAAGGATGAAAGTCACACAAGTGTTGAGGACTTTCGTTCATAGGGTCACTATGAGTTGCCTATGGCTCGATGACACCTAACAATAACAACAACATTATCACATGTTAAATACCATTAATTTCTCACAACAATCCTGAAATAGGTGGAGTTTTCAGTCTTATTCCAATATAATAGATAATGACACTGAAAGGATTTACTAAAGATTTATTACTGCTAGTAGGTGGCAGAATCCAGACCTGAGGCTAAGTTGTTATTCTCAGTTTGTATAAGACAGCCATAGAGAGTGAATGTTGTATTCTTGGGCACTGGTGTCTCTAAAGCAGTTGTAATTTTGTACTGTAGGAAATGTTTGACTATATCTGAAGACATTTTTGGTAGTTATGACTGGAGCATCATGAAGCTGCTAACCATCCTAAAATGCACAAGCCAGTCCCTCACAACAGAGTTTACGTAAACCAGAATATCTAGAGCTGAGATTGAAAAATCTTGGTATTCACTGTCTGATCCAGGACAGAGATTGTAAAATGGTAGTAGGTTACTTTTCATTGGAGCCCTGGTGGCCTACTCCATAGGGATTTCTGCTGCTAACCCAAAGGCTGCAACTCTGGCAGTTCGAATCCACCATCTGCACTGCAGGATAAAGGAGGCCAGTCTCTTCCTGTGTGATTTACAGCCTCAGAAACCCACTGGAGGTTCAAATATGATGTTGCAACCTGACAGCAGTGAGTTTGAATTGAGGTTTTCATTGGTAAGCAGTAGTCTTCAATTTCTTTCCATGTGCAACTTCTCTTATATTCATATTGTAAAGCCTACTAACCTCCCTTGCAAAATTTAAAGTCTGAATCAAGGATATTTGAAGACTGGAAGATGTTGAAAATTGCATTACATCTACTGCTCATCAGTAAAAGAATTAAAAGGAAGAGTTTGGTTCAAGGACATTAATTTATTGATTCTTTTCCTTGTCAGGTTGCTTCCCAGGGGGTGTGCATTGGGTATCAGTCGGTAAACAAGATAAATCTGGGCTTCTGATGAAACTTCAGAATCTTTGCACACGCTTGGATCACGATGATAGTTTCTCCCAGAGGCTTCCACTTAATATCGAAGAGGCTAAAGACCGTCTTCGCATTCTGATGCTGCGCAAACATCCAAGGTACAGGTGGTCAACTCTAGTTGGCTGAGCTCATTTTCCTTTTCCTGCTGTTCTGTAGAGGGCTTTAGAAAGCCTCTGCTTTCTTGCTTGTTGTCTCTCTTACATTAAAAAAAAATAGTGGCTATCACGTGACTTAAAATTGCTACCTTTCCTGCTTTGTATCTTGCCTGCACAGTGTCTCATATATGCCATTGCAGACTACTTCTTGAGTAGCTGAATGATCTTTGCCCAAAACGTCCAAGCTCCTTACCTAAATCCAGTATTATTTCTGGTGGGTGTTTCTTCTGTCTTAGTATCTTTAAGCGCTATAATCGTCATTCTTGTACCTTCCATGTACTTTAGATGCTTGTTTTTTGGTTTGTTCTCTCATCAAATTTTGAATTGCTGTTAGGTGCCAGGTATTGTTATCAACTATTTAGCTGTCTTTATTAGTTAAGAGAGAAGTAGCACTGTAGGTACTATTTGTGTTGGGTATAACACAGCCTTGCTTGCTGAAACTGAGGAGAACCTGAAGCGCTTGCTGCAGATTATTAATGACTGCAGTCTTCAGTATGCAGTGAAGCTCAACCCCAAGAAGACAGATTCTCTCCACTGGGCCAATTGGCAGCACAATGATGGATGGGGAAGAGATTGAGGTTGTTAACAATTACAGCTTGCTGGGCTCCATATCAACACTCTTGGCACCAGCAGTCAGGGAATCAAAAGATAAATTGCATTAGGTAAATCTGCTGTCAGGGAACTTTCCAGAGTACTGAGAAGCAATGGTGTCAGTCAGGAGACTAAGGTGTACCTGATTCAGTCCAGGGTCTTCGCAATTACTTGTTAAGCATCAGAGAGCTGGACAGTGACGAAGGATGACAGAAGAAGAATTGATGCCTTTGCGTTGTGGTGCTGAAGAAGAGACTTGAACATACCATGGACCATCAAGAAAACAAATAGGTCTGTCTTGGAGAGGGTGAAACCAGGTTTCTTCTTGGAGGCTAGGATTTTGAAACTCCACCTCACATACTTTGGGTGTATGTCCAGGAGGGACTGATAGTTGGAGGACAACATACTTGGAAGGGTAGAGGGGTAGTGCAGGAGAGGAAGACCCTGGATTAGATGGATTGATATAGTAACTGGGGCAGTGCGAGTAGGTGTGTTGAGTCAATGAGACTGGTTCAGGACAGGGCAGGCTTCAGAGATATTGTACCTGACTCACAGGCGACTTGATGGCATATAACCACCACAACAAACAACTTTAGAATCAACCAAAATTTTGTTTCAGTAATCTTAATTCTTATTCCATAAATTGTTCACTTGGTCAGCACGTTACTGAATGGTATGCCAGGTTCCAGGCAAAGTGCTGTAAGGACAAAAGTGAATAAAGTATGGGAATGAAGTAGATAGTGTTTTTGAACTTTTAATAAAGATGTTCAAGTTTACGTAAAGAGAATAACCATGTACTTCAGTATGTGAAAGGACCTAGGTGTGGCAGTAATTCTCAAATTCGTAATAGGAGTAATGCCAAAATACTATAGGAGAGAAGAGTAGTGTTTGGAGAAAGCCCCCAGGTATTCTGATACATTTGCACTGTAGAGAGTCTCCCTTTTCCTTTTTACTCTTCCAGACCCTTCCACTAGCCATCCCTTGGTATCCATTTTCATGAAAAGAAAAGGATTCAGATCATCAATCATTCCCGCTTTCTTGCCAGTCAGTAGCTTTGTTGTACTTCCCTTCGGGAAAATAAGAGTGACTTCCTTTTGGGAAAATATGGCAGCCATGATAAGGCTGAGGGAATTATGCTGCCAGTGCAAAGGTACATGGTTTGAATCCACCAGCTACACCACAGGAAAAAGATGAGGAAGTACCTCCTGGGCAATTAAGTGCCTCTGAAAACCTGCTGGAGTGTCAGCTGTGGGTGGCTTACTGGTAAGGAATGAGGCTTACAACTCAGAAGTATGCAGTTTGAATCCATCACTAGCTCTGTGGGGGGAAGTTGGGTTGTCTCCTCTTGTGAGATTTATTGCCTCTGAAAACCCACTGGAAGGTCAGCTATGAATCGTTTCCAACTCAGTGATACTCAGTGACAATACTAGCTTTCATATAAAATAGCCAGTTTTACAGGTCAAATTGCCAAAAATCTGTGGTATTTGATTGAGTCATTCTAATTCTAACCTGGACCCATTTCCAGTTTGGTTTTGGTTTTTAAGACTGAATTAAGAAATTCCATTACTTGGGTAGTTCTTTTTTAGACCTAGATAAGGTTGAACTAAATTATTGTTAATTGTTGTTGTTGTTGTTGTTATGTGCCATCGCGTCACTTGTGATTCATAGCAACCCTATGTACAACAGCCCTAAACTCCGCTCTGTCCTGTGCCAATCGCATGGTACCAGAGCTTTAGAGGCTTAGAGCTAAGGAATTATGCCATTGCTAGAGTCCACAGTTCAGATGAGCCAGCTGCTGTGCAGGAGAAACATGGGCTCATTCTCCTCATGCGATTCACTGCCTCTGAAAACCTGTTGGAGGGTCCGCTTTGGCTCAGTTCTGATGTACACAGAAACAACATGATTACATGGTGTTCTTTTTGTAAGGTATGAAGGATCTTATTAATTGTTAATTTAGGATGGTATGAGGAAAGTTTCAAATTCTCTTTGCTTTCAGCAAGCAAACCTGTGTTATCACAGGCTGTTGATGTATCTTCTAAGAGTCCTGATGCCACACTCTTCTTTATAAAATTCAGCCTTTCGAATGAAATGCTCTGCATACAGATTGGATGGGTAGGAAGAAAGGATACAGCAACCTTCCTTACTGAAAGTGAAGAGGACTTGAAATGCTTGCTGCATAAAATCAAAGACTACCACCTTCAATATGGATTACATCTCAACCTCAAGAAGGCAAAAGGACCTCTGGCGTCATAGACAATATCATTATAGATGGAGAAAGATTGACATTGTTAATGATTTTGTCTTGCTTGGAGCCATAATCAACATCCTTGGTACCAGCAGTCAGGAAATCAGAAGACATATTGCATTGGGTAAATCTGCTGTTAAGGACCTCTCTAAGGAGTTAAGAAGCAATGATGTCAGTTTAAAGACTAAGGTGCAGCTGAATCAGGCCATATCTTTTCAGTTACTTGTTAAGCATCTGAAAGTTGGAGAGTGACTAATGTTGATCAAAGAATGGATACCGTTTAGTAATGGTGTTGAGGAAGAGTACTGAATAGTCCATGAACTGCCAAAAATACAAATAGGTCTTGGGAAAAGTGCAACCAGTGTTCTCCTTGGAGGCAAAGATGGTGGAACTTCGTCTCTTATTCTGGGCGTGTTGTTAGGAGAGGTCAATCCTTAGAAAAGGACATCATACTTGGAAAGATGAAGGGTCAGTGGAACACTCTCAACAAGATGGATTGACACAGTAACACAGACTGTAACAATGGGCTCAGTTATATCAGAAATGATGAAGATGCCAGAGGAGAGGACAGAGTTCAGATCCCTTGTTCATGGGATCCCTGTGAGACATGGTTGACTTGGTACTATCTTTTTTTTTTTTTTATTGGTACTATCTTTTAACCACAGCACAGGAAAGTGAAAAGTCTCTGATTTTCACTTCACATTTAAAACAGCATATTGCGAAAAGGGTATAGCAAAGAAAGTGGGAGGAACTTTCAACTAAACATCTAATTCTTTTTTATTATTTTCTTTGCATTTTTTTAGAGTTTAGAACACCCTAGTGGCATCATTTAGCACAACACCAGAAGGATCTATTCCACCACAACTCCTTAGCATTATATTTTTAAAGGAAACATAAAAGAAATGCTGTTAGTGACTCATTGCAGTTTATTTTGTCTGTTTGTTTTTGCTTTTGAATTAGGTCTCTCTTGATCTTAGATGACATTTGGGATTCTTGGGTTTTAAAAGCTTTTGACAATCAATGTCAAATTCTTCTTACTACCAGAGACAAGAGTGTTACAGATTCAGTAATGGGTAAGGATTGTTAATTTGCTTTTTTGTACCTTTGTATTTTAATTCAATTATATTTAAATATGTTATTGCTTGCATGTCAAGTTTTGACTCATGGTGACCCTTAGGACAGAATAGACCTGTCCCATAGTATCTCCAGGGCTGTAATCTTTAAAGGAACAGATGTGTATGATATACTGAATTACTTCCTGTCTTACTTTTGTTACAGGCCCTAAATATGTTGTTCCTGTGGAGAGTGGCTTAGGAAAGGAAAAAGGACTGGAAATTTTATCCCTTTTTGTTAATATGAAGAAAGCAGATTTGCCAGAACAAGCTCATAGTATTATAAGAGAATGTAAAGGTATAGTGACTTATTTTATGTATCAGGAGGTTCTGGAGATGTTTATTCTGTTTTGTAAATTAAACTAATGTATATGATATTTATTATATGTGTATCCACAATATTTTCTAAGATATTAAGTATTTTAAAGTCCTTAATCCTTTAAAAGATACATGTTGCTATGATAATATGTTTACTCAAAAATATTTAATAAACACACATGGTGTGCTAGCAACCTTGCTAGGAAGAGAGGTGAGATGAAAATGTGACATCTGCTGTCAAAGAGTGAAAAATTAGTGAAAGACAGAAATTGTTTTGGTTTTTTAAGCTCCTATTTTATGAAAATTAAAAAACTAAAAAGTAAAAAGTAAACCTTGGCATTTCCCTAATTTGCATTTTTTGTTAGCAAAATTAAGTTTTTTTGTTTTCATTGGGATATTTTTCCTTGAGCTTTTTAAACTTTTAGAATTCTTTTTTATTGTTTTATATTTTTTACCCATTTTGCTGTTTAGTGAAATAGGAAACTAAATACTTCCAAAGTTAAAAAAAAAAAATTACTCTTGATTTCCCTCTACTTTTGGAATTTAAATATTTTTAGATACTCTAACTATTGAAGGTTTTTGTTCTCACACATTATTTTAGTTTTTTGTATGACTTTAAATTTGATTTTTAGTGTCATTTATATAAAAATGATAAAAATTCTTATGTAGTCAAATTTATGAATCCTTAAAATTCTTTCTCCTCTTCATACACTTAGAACTTCTTTTTCTTTCTACCAACACAGAGATATTTAGTTTTGGGTTAAGACTTGTAAAATATTCCAAACCTTAGAAAAAAGACTTGATTTATAGCCGTTATCAAGGTGATATATAACTATTTTAAAAATGTTTGAAACACTAAGGAGAAAGTGACAGTTATCCATAATTGGTTAGTTACTAGCATCATGAGACTATTTTATCCAGTTTTTAATGAACTTAATCATTTTTTAGAATATTGGGATTATGTGACTATATATGTTTATATGTTATCTCTATATATAGTTTTTAGTCTTTCACTTTTAAGTTAGCATATCATTAGGATTTTTCTATGCAATTTAATATATTTGGAAACCTAAATTTAGCATGTATCACGTGTATTTTAATTTATTCAAACATTTCTCAAATATTGGATGTTTTATACATTGTTTAAAATTTCTCATTATTTTAAATAATACTGTGATGAATACTCTTAAATATTTCCTATTTCTGATATTTTCTAATATTTTCCTATTTCTGATATTTTCTTTCTGGGTTTAGAAGGGGTCGTGGTACTAGGGATATTGTAGCTGATGTTAGATGGATCTTAACTGAAAGCAGAGAATACCAGAAGAATGTCTGTCTGTGTTTCATTGATTATGCAAAGGCATTTGACTGCATGGATCATAACAAACTGTGACTAACTTTGAGAAGAATGGGAATCCCAGAACATTTAATTGTGCTAATCCGAAACCTATACTTGGACCAAGAGGCAGTCGTCAGAACAGAGGAAGGCAACACTGCATGGTTCAAAATTGGGAAGGGTGTACGCCAGGGATGTGTCCTATCTCCATACCTTTTCAACCTGTATGCAGAGCAGATTATCCGAGAGGCTGGGCTCTATGAGGAGAAGTGTGGCATTAGGATTGGTGGACGATCTGTCAACAATCTGCGTTATGCAGATGACACAACCCTGCTCGCTAAAACTGAGGAGGACCTCATGCACTTACTGCAGAGGGTCAAGGACTGCAGCCTTCAATATGGACTGAGGCTCAATGTCAAGAAGACAAAAATTCTCACCACTGCACCAATCGGTAGCATCAGGATGGATGGCGAAGAGATTGAGATTGTTCACAGCTTCAGTTTGCTCGGCTCCACGGTCAGCACTCTTGGCACCAGTAGCCAGGAAATCAAAAAACATATTGTGATGCGAAAGTCTGCGGTTAGGGACCTCTCTAAAGTACTCAAGAGCAGCAGTGTCTCTCTGGAGACTAAGGTGCACCTGATACAGGCCATGAATTGACGCCTTTGAGCTGTGGTGCTGGAGAAGAGTATTAAATGTACCATGGACTGCCAAGAAAACAAACAGATTCATCCTAGAGAGGGTTAAACCAGGCTGCTCCTTGGAGGCAAGGATTCTGGGCCTTTGTCTGACATACTTTGGACATGTTGTAAGGAGAGACAGGTCTTTAGAGAGGGACATCATGCTGGGTAGAGTAGAGGGACAGCGCAGGAGGGGAAAACCCTCTATGAGGTGGATTGATTCAGTGACTGGGGTAATCGGGATGGGTGTGTCAGAGGCAGTGAGATTGGCACAGGATAGAGCACGCTTTAGGGCTGTTGTACATAGGGTCACTATGAGTCGCAAATGACTCGACGGCACATAACAACAACAATAGTTTCTTAGAATAAATATGCCTATAAGTGAAGCCAAGAGTTACAAATATTTTTACGTGTCACTTAAAGTAAAATAGTCATAACACAGTGACTGCTTTTTCTTTTAGGTTCTCCTCTTGTTGTGTCTTTAATTGGTGCACTTTTACGTGATTTTCCCAATCGTTGGGAGTACTACCTCAGGCAGCTTCAGAATAAGCAATTTAAGAGAATCAGGAAATCTTCATCTTATGATTATGAGGCTCTGGATGAAGCTATGTCTATAAGTGTTGAAATGCTCAGAGAGGACATGAAGAATTATTACACAGATCTTTCTATCCTTCAAAAGGATGTCAAAGTGCCTGCACAGGTAATAGAAGGACTAACAATCTCTAGGGCCTTATCACTGGTTATTTATAGTATATAATTTTAAAGATAAGAGGAAATTGTTACAGAGGATATTAGAAGATCCATGTGAAAAGGGTGATCAGATGGAAGGTGCAGAAGTCACATAGTTCTTAGTGTCTGTAAGGACTCTGTGTTGAACCTGTGATTATGTTTCTTCCATTGTTTCTGGTGAAGCTCTCCTTTTTTTCTATCTTATTGAAGAGTTGGACATTAGGAGATGATGTGTGTGCATGTGTGTGGGTGTTGTTTACAATCCTGGTGGTTCTACTTATGCTTTAAATGATTCTTAGGTATTATGTATTCTCTGGGATATGGAAACGGAAGAAGTTGAAGACATACTGCAAGAGTTTGTGAATAAGTCTCTGCTATTCTGCGATAGGAATGGAAAGTCATTTCGTTATTATTTGCATGATCTTCAGGTAGATTTCCTTACAGAGAAGAATCGCAACCAGCTTCAGGTACTTGTAGCTTTTATATATTCTTTTAGAAAATGTTTTATTTTGATGTACCTTTAGACTTACAGATATAAGAAAAATATTACAGAGTATTTCTATGAACATATCCTTGACCTAACTTGCCCTAGAGCTTATGTTCTTACAATATAGTCATCAAAGAAAGACAGAAAATTAGCATTGATGCAGTACAGTTGAATCCAGTCCTTTTTTTGGTCTAGATCCAAATCAAGATTCCATATTGCATGCAATTACCGTATTTCCTTCGTTGTCATTTTCCTTTAAGCTCATCTAAACTGTGAAAATTCCTAGATGTTTCCTTTGGCTTTAATGTAGCTTTTGTTCTATGGCCATTTATTTTGTATAATATCTTTTGATTTGAATTTCTGATGTTTTCTCATGGTAAGATTTAAGTGATGCATTTTTGCCCTTTTCTGTCCATTGCATTAGGAAGTGAGGTACATGATGTCAGTGAGTTTTCATGGTAGTTGTTAACTTTGATCACTTGGATAAAGTCAGGTTTGCCTGGTCTTCCTACTGTAAAGTTACTAATTTTTTCCTTTATTATTTGGGCTGTCATATGGGGAGATTCTAAAGAGCTTTAGAAGTTAGAGTTGTTATGCTGCGTAGGTTATGAGTTTATTTCTCCCCTTTGACGTGGGTTTCTCTGTAAGTAAATTCTTCTCTGTAAAGAAATCTACCTGAAGATCATGTCATTTGGGTTTCAGGATCTGCATAAGAAGATGATTACTCAGTTCCAGAGGCATCGCCAGCTTCATACTCTTTCACCTGATCAAGAGGACTGCATGTACTGGTACAACTTTCTGGCCTGTCACATGGCCAGTGCCAACATGCACAAAGTAAGATGATGCTTTTAAAAATAATTTTGTCTCACTTTTGTCCCCTGACTGAAAAGTCCCCTAACGTATTGCCATGGAATCAGTTTGAACTCAGTGACCCTCCATTGGGTTTCTGAGTCTGTAAATCTCAACAGCAGGAGACTGCCCTTCTTTCTCCTTTAGAGAACCAGTGATTTTTCAGTAAGCAGTGCAGCATGCTGTATGCTGTGTCACAAGAGTTCCTTAAAGGAAAAAAAAATCTTCATAATTAGGAAAAAGGTCCTTGAGTGGTGGTTACCAATATCATTTGATCACTAATATACAAGTTGACAGTTTAAAGTTACCCAGTGAAGAAAGAAAGACTTGGTGATTTTCTTCTGTATAGAGTCTAGCCAAGAAAATCCCTGTGGAGCTGTTCTCTATAACACATCAATTGAGAATCAGCAGTATTTGTTGTTGTTTGTTTGTTTTAGTATCTGCAGTAAATGAACTTTCTATAATTATACTAGGAGTGGCCTTCCTATATTTATTTTATTTTATTATTTTGTGTGCGTGTACCGTCAAATCAGATCTGACTGGTACAGGAGGAGATTGCCCCTCTTTCTCCAGCAGAGCATCTGGTGGATTTGAACCTCACACTTCTGCGATTGCAGTGCAGCTTCTTGCCACTAGACCACCAGAGCTCCCTTATTTCTTTATTTTTAATGCTGTGAGAAGTAGAATATGGAAAAATTTATTCATGAAATCAACAAATATTTATTGAGTGCTCATTATGTTGTGTGAAATTGTTCTTTTTAATAGGAAATAGCACAGACACAAAGTCCTTTCTTTTGTAGAGCTTATATTCTGGAGAGAAACAGACAATAAGCATATATTTATTGTATGTCAGGATAGTATGTGCCCAGAAGAAGCAAAAAAGAGGGCAGAGAAAGAAAATGATGAGGTGAAGGTAGAATTGGTAGGATTATCTGATGGCCTTGATGTATATTTATAAGAAAGTAAAATAACCAAAAAACCAAAACAAACCAAAAAAACAACCACAAAAAATAAAAAAAAAAGAAAAATTTAAAAAACCCCCCCCCCCCCCCCCCCAAAAAAAAAGACAAAGATGATACTAAGCTTGTGCTACAAAAAGAATGAAGTTGCTATGAGTTGAGATGGGAAGTTGTAGGAGGAGCAAGTTTGGTTTGGTGGTGTGGTTATAAATTTCAGTACATTAATTCTGATATACTTATTAATAATATTTATAAAATGTTATTTACATTAGTGATTTCCCCCTATTTTTTATTATAAAAATGATGCTCGTTTTGTAGCCAGCTTTTTTTCACTTAGCATAGTTTACACTGAATAATCCACACTGGAACGATGATGTTCCAAAATAATTATCTGTGCCCAAGTTAGTTAACCACATTCTACTTTTTGAGCATTGAAATGGGTTTCGGTTGTTTGTTTGCTATTATGATGCAGAAATGAACAATCTTGTTTTGTCATTCCACTGATACTACATCTGTGGAAAATTCCTAGAATTGTAATTGCTTTGTCAATGCATCTTTTTATGATATTATATGATGATGAGGCAGAACTCAATTTCTTCTTTGTATATTTTAAACTTTTCTTTCAGATTATAAAGATGATAATTTATTTTCAGTGAAAAAGCTTAGTTTGAAAAAAAAAAACAACAAAAAACTCAGAAGATAAGCATTGTTAGTGATATGCCTATAGTTTTCTAGGTAATTTTATGGCTAAGACGTAAACATTTGTGCTTTAAAATGCAATTAAAATGGAAATGAGTGTTTTATAGGGCATATGAAAATGAAAAACATACCTTTGTACAATTTTTAGTTGTACAGTTCATGGACAGTGATGACCTGTTTCACAGTATGACACTTGTCTCTGTCTCTGTTGGTTCACCACTGCCAACTTATGTTCTCTACCCTTTAAAGTTCTAATCTGTACTTTAGGGTTGCTAATATCTTTTTTAATATGCAGTGCTCAAGGCATATATTTTTTATTTGAGCTAAATTGTTGTTCATTTGAAGATGATTTCATGGCATTACATTCAGGGATTCTTCCATCTCATTTCTACCAATTCTGGTTTCCAATAAGAACTTGATATTCTACAGAAATCATTTGATAACTTGCTTTTTTAAAATTCATTTTATTTAATGGTCATCTTTTTATGTCAGTTTATGTAGATTAATATAAATTTGAAAGATGTACACTATTTCATTATATAACTATTATAATAATTTAGTTTGGACAATTAGATTGTTTAAGAATAGTCATATGAGTATGTCCTTAGGATATATTATTTAAGTAGAATTTCTGGGTCAAATGTCCTGTACAGTTTAAGTTTCAACATAGATTGCCAAGTGGTACTACAGAGAGGTTGCTCTAATTTTTTTTAATCAAATTTTTATTTTATACTGATTTACTTACAGTGTTTGTAAACATTGTTTTTCCTCTGATTTAATTATAGTCAGCAGGATACAATAGTGCTCTGATTCCAGCAACTATTCTTAGTTATTCCTTTTGATCTTTTGATTTCATTACAGGGACTTTTTTTGCCATTATATATATTTTTTGAATTGATACTTATCTATTGTCTTTACTTTTCTATTACTATTTTATCTTTTTCATATTGTTTTGTTAGAATTTCCCAATGTGAAGAAGCTATGTCTGTCGTACGTTTTTTCCTATATTGAATTTGTATGACATTTTATGTAGTTAAATTTTTAAAATTTTTCATTTGTTTTTGGTTCCCCCCCCAATCATTCATGTACCTTCTGTTCCATAACACCACGTACATACAATATGTGATCATCTATTTATTCTTCATTGTCCTTTCCTTCCTCCATCTCAAGAAGTGTTCATTGTTTATCAGTTAATTTGCTACTTCTGCCACACCTCCTCATTGGTAACTGTCCTAAATGAGAGGAGAAAGAAAGTCCAAGATGGATGTCAGAAGAGACTGAGTATTGCACCAAAGAGGTGAGAAGTCACAGCAAAGAGAAGAAAGCAGGAAGTCGAGGAGCTAAACAGAAGATTTCAAAGGGCAGCTGGGGAAGACAAAGCAAAGTATTATAATGAAATGTGCAAAGAGCTGAATTCAGAAAATCAGAAGGTCCAAACTCGCTCGACATCTTAAGCTGAAGGAACTAAAGGAACAAATTCAAACCTCGAGTTGTGATACTTAAGTATGCTATCCAGGAAGCATTAAAAGAAGATGGGAGGAGTATACAGAGACAGTATACCAAAAGAAAAAAATTCGCTGACACAGAAGCATTTCATCAAACAACATCTGATTAAGAAGCAGTAGTGATGAAGGAGGAAATTCAAGCTGCTTTGAAGGAATTGGCGAAAAACAGAATGATAAAAAACAAAGAACCAGGAATTGATAGAATACCAGTTGATGTATTTCAACAAACAGATGCTGCCCTGGGCATGCCCATCAGGTTGTGCCAAGAAATATGGAGGACAGCTCACTGAAAGAGATTCAGTTTTATTCCCACTCTCAAAAAAAGGTGACTTGGCAGTTTGGAAATTACTGAACAACATTATTAATACGCACTCAAGCAAAATTCAGCTGAACATTATCCAGAAATGACTGGAAGAGTACAAGAGAGAACTACCAGAAATACAAGCTGGGTTTAGAAGAAGCTGTAGCCTTTTTTGTGTCCTTTTTTTGACGGACTTATTTCACTTAGCATAATCTCCTCTAGATTAATTTATGTTGTGTAATATTTAACAAATTATTCATTGGTTTCCAGTATAGCATAGTATTCTATTACATGAATATAATGTAGTTTTGTTCTCTGTTCATTTGTTGATGAGGACTTGGGTTATTTCCCTCTCTTTGCTGTTGTGAATAATGTTCTAGTAAACATGAAAGTGTGTATATCTGTTTCTGTCACAGCTTATTTTTCTTTAGAGTATATTTCTAGTTGTGAAATAATAGCTGGATCAAATGGTACTTTTACTTTAAACTTTTTAAGGAAATGTCAAACTTCTTCCCATAGTAGTTATACCACTTTGCGTTCTTCCTCAGCAGGATACGAGACTTTTAGTTTCACAGCATCCTTGCTAGCATTTGTTGTTTGCTCTCCTGTGAACTTTGCTTTAGTTGCTGAGATTTGCATCTCTTTAATAGTTTTTTTCCAGTAACTGAACTCTCCTGACAACTTTGTCAAAATATATGAAACAGAGTTTCACCATCCTTTCCTCTAAAGAGCACCCTGGTTGTACTTTCTTCAAGACAGATTTACTTAGTCTTTTGGCAGCCTGTGGGGTATCCATACTCTTCTCCAACAACTCAAAAACATACATCCTTCTGTCATCCTTATTCACTGTCTAACTTTCACATGCATGGGAAGTAAAGGAAAAGAGTGGCTTTGATCAGGCATAGCTTAGTCTTTAAACTGAGGTTCATACCTCTTTAGTACTTTGGAGAGATCCTTAACAGCAAATTTTGCCAATATACCTTTTGATTTCTTTACATTGTTACCATGAATGTTGAATGTAAATCCAAGTAAAATGAAATAATGGACAACTTCAATCTTTTCTCCATCTATCATGATGTTGTCTATTGGTCCAGTTGTGAGGATCTTTGTTTCCTAGAGTTTGAGATGCAATTCATAATCAAGGCTTTAGTCTTTGATCTACAGCAAGTGTTTTGGGTTCTCTTGCTTTCAGCAAGCAAGGTTGTGTCTTCTGCTTAATTGAGGTTATTGATGAGTTTCTGATCCGGATACCACATTGTTCTTCATATCATCCAACTTCTCAAATGGTTTGCTCAGCATATAGCTTGAACAGACATGGAGAAAGGATACAACTCTAATGCATATCTTTCCTGATTTTGAACCATACAGTGTTTCCTTGTTCTGTTCAGACTGCAGCTTCTTGGTCTAAGTGTAGGTTTGCATGAGCACAGTTCATTCAGTGTTTTGGATTCTCATTCTTCTCAATGTTATTCATTAGTTTGTTAAGAATCTATGCAGTCAGATGGCTTTGCATGGTTAATA